TGTAACCTTTGCTGTTTCGTTCTTTTGCTTCATCCATCCATTCCTTCAGCCATCCCGCCAACAACGGGTTAGCACAATCTTCTAACATTTTCACTTAAAACCGTACCATGTAGACCCAGTCATACATGATGGGATCCATAGGAGTAAACGACAGGAATAGTGCTCTTGGGACCGATGTTGCGTTGTTATGTCCGCGCCCTCGAATCTGAAGTCCCTCCAACAAGCAAGAGTTTCCCCACGGACGCGTGCGCGCTTCCCAAACGCGCTGTCATGTGATTGCCAGGTGCTGACTCCTATTTCACTGGACTCACCACCAGACTCACTCGCGCAGTCTTGATGCACATTAGTACCGCAATAAGACGAACCCGTCATAGACAACTGTAACTATGCTGGCATATATCGGAATCAAGTTCCATCCAGACGATAGGAATCGGCATGTTATTGAACAATTGTCGGACCTGCTCACCTCCTGCGGCTTCGAGACAATTTGTGTCCGGCGTGACATTGAGAAATGGGGGGTCATTTCTCTGTCTCCTCGAGAATTGATGAGGGAGACATTTGTAATCATTCGCTCATGCCAGCTAGTCGTCATTGAATTGAGCGAGAAGGGTGTCGGGCTAGGTATCGAATCTGGCTACGCGTTTGCGCATGCCATCCCGGTGATCACCATTGCGCGAGATGGCTCTGATATCTCTGATACACTGCGTGGCATCTCTGAGGCGGTGTACGTCTACGAGAATATGGCTGATCTGCGCGAGTCTTTTCAGCACCTCGAGATAAGAAAACATTCCTGATACATGAATACAACATTGACGACGATAGCGAATTTTACGTGGTCTCTTCTTCCCACCAAGCCCTCCCGAGGGCTTTATGAGATTGGTGGTTGTTAAGGGCTTTGAAGCTAAATAGCTACGGCTATTAAGTCAATCCAACGGCAAAGATAAATCAATGAGTTTACTGGCACTTGAACTATTGAAGGGTTGAGATGTGCCAGGTCATACCATATTCCGGCATATATTAAGGGACAGTTTCAAGTGGGACTATCACCACAACAATATACATAGGTCAAGCAAGTCGGCAACGGCCCGAAATTTATCCCATATGTACGATATCGGGTGCAAGTTTGGATATTAAAGGTATATCAACCCTATACCGGGCAGCTCAATTACAACAGACCTCTCGCCATCTTCCACATCACCCAGGGGCAGTCTCTCTCCGCAAGGGGCGTCCAGTCTTCGATCGATCTACCGGTGTCCACAAGCACCAGCTTTGCGCCCATAGCCAAAGTGCCACCACAGCAATCGAAAAGACTCCCAAACTCGAAGCCCAGCTGCAGCTCAATCAGACTGATCTTCTTCTGTACCTCTGTCTTGGGAATATCGCCGTAGAACAGGCTCAGGTGTGGGAGATATTCATTCTCTGCCCAATTCTTTGCGTCGCTTTCGGACAACAGGAGGCCCTGCTGCCTGCATGCTGCGGCAAGTTTGACTAAGTTGGCATCTTTCGCAGCTCGAAGAGTCACCTTTTTGAAGAAAGGATCCCCAGCTTCGAGTTGCTCGAGCTCGACATTTACTTCATTCGACTCCTTTTTAAACTGGGGTAGAGAAAGGCCGTCCAGCCACTCCTGTGGTGATGATGATCCGTAGGTCTTTGAAGGATCAATGTCCGAGATTATGGTCACATGTGGGATGAAATTGCGCTTGGGCGCATGAGGGAAGTCTGATGGCAGTGTACTGCCGATCAGCTCCTTTAGGGACTTGTTGAATGGCTCATCATCTTTGCGAGCGATGAGCCACAGAGACGAGCCCGGCATGGGATGGTTTGAAGTGCTTTGAAAAATCGTGGAGGGGTTGGTGAATCGACAGGAGCCCGAGTTGCAGATGTGGATGTTGCAGGAGAGCTGTTTCGAGGGGCTTCAAACCCTTGAGAATTGCTACATTCAGGTCTTAATAGCTTTCCCCATGTGCAAACCAGCAGACATGATGATCAGTCATCATTCATCAGGTTCCCTTGGGCCGGGGAAGCCCAGAGCGACATCACGCTCTCCACAAAATAGTGCGAGTCGCGGGACCATTTCCCTGGAGCTTAGTCAAGAAGAATAATACTAGCACTCAGCTGCCGCATCACCACTCCGAGTCTCGTCTCTTTGTCCCTACAAATGTCAGGTGCCAAAGTCCAAACCAGACCTCTCCATACACTATAACCCATGGCGGCTTGAGCTCAGCCATTGATCTATGCCCTTCTCGTTTCCTAATAATCAAGGGTCTGCCTTGAAGTTTGCAGAACAGAGATGATCAGGCTGTGTTCTGTTGCTCCGCACTAGAACCTTGAAGTAAAGGGTACAACTCGTTCCACTGGATTTGTTGAGACGACGAAGACGACGTTTTCCTCGCGAGCAAGCGCAATAGCACTAAGTTGTCAGCTGTTACCTGAGCTCTTGGCCGGCGCGAGCAGATCTCGACATTGGCTTATTCCTTCGCACAGGACACTCCGTTTGCAAGAGTCTGCTCTCCATGGGGCGAGCCCACATCATACCTACATCTTAACTTTTTCCCGGGGCTTATCTTTTCCGCACGACATGATGTATGGCATCCTGTCAGACAGCCCGTTAACTGACGTCGAGCTCTACGGCAAGGTTCCCAGACTAAGGCCGTTCTCATCTAATGGCTCGGAGTAGCTCTCCGTGGGTGATCCCCCGTATGAAGTAAGATTTCGGTCCCATTTCTGCTCAAGTGGTTGCATATCCTGAGCTTGGGTGCAAGATCGACGAGCTCGGGAAAGCGAAGCAGGGGGAATCCGTCTGATGGAGCAGGAGTTGCAGATGTTGACGTCTACGACTTTGCTCGAAGGAACACTGGCAAATGATTGGGTACCGATGACAGCCTTGTGCCTTACCTCTGTTTTTTTTTTTCCCCTGAAAGGAGCACAACTCTAGTCGAGATGGTACCTGAACAGGGCAACTACTGGGGAACCACACCACGGCCTTCTGGGACTATACCGATTGGTCTCATCGTGTCTTCCTAGATTTCGCAGTTCAAACCTTCGTCACTGCTTTTAAGACGACTGGCTGTGATCAGAGTTAATGACCTCACCACTTCATCAATGGGCTTCCTGATCTGAGCGTAAAAGGGTGTGAAATGTTGCGCTATCATGACGACAGAACCGTGAACGAAACAGCGGTGGTATTGCGAGCTTGGTACGGTGAGGGGGCTCGTCGAACGGCACCTGTAAAAGCATATAAACCTAGGTCGAAGATTTCAGGCAGTCGTGTGCTCTTCATCCAGATATCTCATCATCCAAACATATCCTTCCTTTCGTCTATTTCAGCAGTAACCAACCAACTTAATCTAACCCTTCCCACCATGTCGACAGCCCCGGGAGATGAATACCAGCCCGTTGACGAGGGTTTCGAAGGCAGGACCACTGCCGACACGATGCAAAACGATTACAAGTCGCGAACTGGCCAGAGCCACATTCCAGTCCAAAGCGACGATGCTCCAGTCGAGGATCCAATTGATGCAACCAAGGCTGATTCGGACGAGCAGCTCGGTGAGTACTTCAAGGTCGAAGTCATCGACTTCGAGTCATGCCCCTACATGATATGCGAGACGCTGAACCTTGAGTGCAGCTCGTGACGACGCCGAAGTGATTGACGAAAGCAACATTATCAACGAGCGCACACGTGGAGCGACGAAAGAGGGGGGTTACCGCGAGCCTGGTGACGAAGAGGGTCTTCCAGGACCGGAGGATGGCACCAGCAGAGTACGTGGAGGTCAGAATCCATAGATAATTATTTGAAAGAGGGTGACACTTCTTTTGGTCAGAAGGGATAATAGTGTGGAGGGAGGATAAAGTACGAGTTCAATAAATATGACCTCTTTCCCCCAGAACTATTTTGATCGGAGATTAACTGCCAAGAGCGGTTTGCTTTTTGTAGTTTGACCATCTCGATGACCGCATCTGCCACCAAGCTCCCATATTAGCTACAAGTACCGAGTATGCAGCTCGGCTTTCGGGTCGTTTGTGCGCTTGTGCATTTTCAAGCTCTTTGCACCTTCTCTCAGTCATTTTGCTTTCGGCCCCAAGCCGCCCTGGAACAACAGCGATTTTTTCATCCATTTATGCACCAAACTGCGGCCTTCAAGAATTTCAATGGTCTCGGTGGCACTCTGTACGATACCATAGCACTATATGTCCTGGGGCATGCAATCGCACTTGGAACCGGGTCTGTGTGACCTCCCAAGCTGGCTACATCCTAGCTAGTCACAGTGCCATCCGTGGGACTTCGAAACCAAAGTTCAAGCAGGACATGGAGGAAGGCCGGATCTGGGACGTGCATTTTGGTTTTCTCCAAATCTAAATCAAGCCACTGGCTCTGATCGAACGATGCATGCTGCCAGCGAGCCAAAAGGGATGCCTCCTGCAGTGGTTGCGACGGGCGTCTAATTTGGCACACATCGTGTTGGCTAGGAGAAGCAAGAGGAGCTCCTTGAAACAAGAGGCAACTCAGGTCTAAGCTTCTCTCCCGCCTGCGCCGGCATGACTACGGAAGCTCATCTGATGGGTTTACTGTAGGTAGGTACCCTGTACAAGGAGGGAGGCTGGGGGGCGAGGGGCACCAAGAGGGGGGAGCGCTTCGCTTACGAGCCAGCAACCAGCAGCCCTCAGCCCTCAGCCCACAGCCCACAACAGTTTAACCAAGCTCGCCCTCGCGCCCACCGGAACCACTGGCTCTGGCTCTGGCGTGAGCGCGCATGCTGATGGGCCGCAGCGTAGACTGTGCGTCTCTTCGCGGTCCCCTCGAGCTGACCCAGACAACTCCTCTTTCCTTGGACTTCCTGGACTTCTTATCCTCCTCCCATCCTTCCATCCCCCATTTTCATCTCTAAACACCCTCTATTCTGGTCGCGAAGCTTTGGCGATCAATCTACCCTCGTTTCTTTGGATTCAAACACACTTCCATTGAGTTAAACGGAACAGTCATTATCGCTGACGTCACCATGTCTGGGGAAGGAGTTGAGCAAGGGGACAAAGGTACTACAGAAACACACTCAGCACCATTCCCGAGCTCGAGCAACTGCGCACAAGCTGGCGCAACAGTCGCTTGCAGCGCGCGAATCACCCGGCTTCTGCACTGTTCGAAATCATGCTCCTCTTCCAGTAATCTCCTGTTGATGACCAGACAAGACGCTGACCAGTCTCGTCGCAGTCACATGGAACTGGGGCGGAGGCCAACCAGGAGGCACCGTCGCTGAGAAGAAGACCGAAGGCGAGGTCGCCATCACCTCCAAGCGTGGCAACAAGGTCAAGAAGAACGCGGAACCAGAGAATCCCGCCGTCCGTGTCGAGCGGTCCGGCCAAGACGTCGTCAAGAAAGCCTCTGAGCTCAACGTCGAAGAGAAAGCCAATGGCGACGCCGGCTCAGCCGAATCTGACGACAAAAAGGAGGAATCCAAACAGGAGGCCGAAAGCACAAATGGCGAAAAGAGGAAGCACGACGAAGTAGGCGAGGATGAGAAGGAGGAAGAAAACAAGCAAGCCGACGAAGTGGAAGAAGAAAAGAACAACGGCCCGCTCGAGGAGAATGCCGAGGACAAGACGGTGAAGGCGAAGGAACCAGCCACCAAGAAGCAGAAGAAGGAGCCCACGGGGAAAGCCGGTCGACCAAAGAAGGCCGAGAAGAAGGAGGAAGAAGAGAAAGAAAAGGAGGCGGCGGCGACTGAGGAAAAAGAAGAGGAAGAAAATGCCGCGAAGAAAGAAGAACCAAAGTCCGCGGCGGAGACCAAGAAGAAGGCTGGCCGGCCGAAGAAGGCTGACGGCGCCCCAGCCAAGCAGAAGAAACAACCCACTCCGCGCGCAACAGAGGGCATTGGGTCTCGGACCAGGAGCCAGCAGAAGAGCGCTTGAGAGACCCTTATACAATGTCCAGCCTGGTTGTGCAAGTATGACGAAAGGATCGGTGAATCTACGACGCATTGTGAACGAGCAGATTGGGAGGATGGGGGGATGGGTTTGAAATAGCCAAGGATTTGTTGCGAGGATTAATGGAGAGATGCCTTTCTGCGTGGGAACGTGGAATCAGAGGAAAGGCGACGGCGACGGCGACGGCGACAGGGCGGTGGATTGTTATTGTATATTATTTTGTATTTCCGTCCCTCCTTTAGCTCTGGCCGAGTTGCGGAGGAGGATTGATTGTTTTTTGTCTGGTTCATGTTGCAGTTGTGTATTGATTCCATTTCTGGAAAGTCTCGTCTTATGCACATATGTATCTATCTACGTAACGTTCCTGTCCCGAATGAGCCCCAGGATCCAACTCGACATTCCCTCTGTTCCTCCCAACCTTCATGGGTGATAGGCATCACAAAAGGGTAGAAGCCAAGAAACACGACGCCGCTGCAAAGGCCGTAGGTCTATGGATTGATCTATAATCATAAATTTCATCGATCTAATTTCCTCTTTATCCAGAAAAATGATCAACAACAATCTCTATCGACCGCCCGTGGTGGCACAGTTGCACTTCTCGGGATCGCCGCCCAGGCGCTCGATCTTCTCCATGCGCTCCTTGTGGTAGTGGTCCTCGTCCTTGCCGGCGTAGAGGACGTCCTTGCGCCACACGGCGCGGACGTGGTTGCACAGGACGTAGAAATAAAGGATGATCATCAGGGCAGTCATGACGGAGCCGACCCACAGGATGGCCTCGCTGCGCAAGGCCTTGCCGATGTTGATGGTGGCCAGGGTGAAGCCGACGTTGGGAAAAACAAAGGCCCACCAGTTTAGGTGAAAGTGAAAGGTGCGGTAGACGGCCAGGCAGCTGACGACGCTGATGGCCCAGAACCAGAACGAGAGGCTCCAGATGAAGACGGCGGTCATGAGCGCCAGGATCCGGACCACCTGGGCGGTGATGTCGTCCGGGCCGAAATAGTCGTAGCCCCGCGGCCAGTGGTCCGCGAGTCCGATGATGGCGAGCGCCGTGAAGCTCGGTGGGCCGACCGCGATGAACATGCCCGGTCGCGACTCCGGCGACGGGAAGCCGTAGTTGATCATCCGTCGCACGTAACTGGCGTACATGCCCATTGAGATGAGCATGCCGAGGCCTTGGGCCGTCAGGCCGGCGAAGAGCATAGGCATGGCGGCGGCACGAGGCTGGTATTCGATGCCCGAAGCGGCAATGGTGCCGGTAAGCATGAAAGGAAACATGGGTAAATCCCAGGCCGGGGTCATGTCTTGGATCTTCAGTCGAGGATTGGTGAAGAGCATGCAATAGAGTCCAACGGCGGCAATGAAGGTGCAGGCGAAGTAGAGCCAGAAAAGAACGCGGTAGGTCACCAGCAGCCAATGGCCCGTGTGGTTGATGCCATAAAGGGCCATGCCGGCGATGATGCTGGCGAGCGAGAGGAATGATGTGCCGAAGAAGAGAGACTCAGTCGGGTGGACGAGACTCGCTTTGAGCGTGCCCGGCCATCGAATAAATCGGTATGTGATTGCAGAAACGATGAAGGTGAAGATGAAGAGGTCACAGATGTAGACGATTTCACCGATGGTCTCGAGGCCGGTGAAGGTGTGAGGCTGATTTTTGGGCGAGAGCAGCAGGGCCAACCCGCCCGTGGCCATTGGGAAGGTGAACCAGGCCTGGTCAATGAAGCTCGTCAGTTTGTAGCCCGTACTGAGTGGTGACCAGACCTACCCATGTGAGATGCCTCAGTCGCTGCAAGCCGTTTTCAACAAAAGGCGGATCCTCCATCTTTTCAGATTGCTCGATCGAAGCTATCATGTTGTCGACAGCATTTGTAGGAGGGCGGCGTCGTGCACAAGGGCGTGGAGGTCCATTACATTAAGTAGGAGACTGCGCCCAACATGTTAAGGTCTCATGTGCAGAGAGGAGAGGGCAAAATAACTCGGGTAGCAAGATGTTTCAGTCGAATGCCGCCGAAGACAGATCTGACGGGTCGACAGCGTAGTGGATGGTGGGGATGGGCCGTAGTTTTGTTGTTACCGATGGTTGAGCTGAGACTTCGGAACGTGCTGCTAGATAAACGCGTGATGGTGATGGAGATGATCGACGGGTTAGGACCTTATGCCGGTGGTATGATGGCATGATTTCAAGCTGGCAATTATGACGGGAGTAATAGATGCTTCTCGAAAAGGATAATGCATACGGAAGAAAGAAAAGTGTGGTCGACACATATGAGATGCGTTAGAATGTTACTGACAAAGCCCCTCGAAAAAGACCAATGAGACGAAGTTGAAGCATTGACTGAGCAGACTGAGGTACTCACTCCCTTCACAAGGACAAATATTTCAGGCGAGAGCCAGTTCGTTATGATGTCGATATTCACATGTCAGACACAACAGGCTTGCAAGTGGTGCCCCGTGCTTTCTATACAGCCCTGCGCCCGGGAAAAATCGGATCCTGCGGAAGAAGCCTCCCGACTCGCGTCCGGATGCAAATTGAGCGCGTTAGGGCCCAAGTCACGTTCTACCAGCTCGCCTCAGCCACACTGTACCGCCCTACTGGGTACCAAGTACAGACACCATTAACTCCCACGCCGACGTCGGAACATCCGCCTCCATCTCGACACCTTCTGCTTCTGCCCTTTCTCCTTCCAAGCACGCAACGACTCCTCGTCACCGTCATCGTGGGTCACCAAAGCGTCGCTGCTCGGCCGGTGACTGTCCTTTGGTCGCCTGCCTCTCTTCTTCCTCAAGACGTTGTATTCGGCTCGCCGTGGTCGAGACTCGCTGCCTGCTCGTATCGAAGTATTGTTGTCCCCCGACTTATTCTGGTGGAATGCTGAGGTCCAGCTCATGATGACGACGGCGAGGATGAAAACAGCCTTTTCCGAGTGGTGAGCTTGGAGGTTGATCGGTGTATCACGCGTGGTTGTTTTTGGTGAGGTTTAGGAGCACCAGTATGTATAATGGGGGTTCTTACTGACATATCGAGGAACATTCAATCCCTCAGGCATCATCCGCCATATCCGTGTCTATATAATGGACCTCTCACTGTAAGTCTCAGCTACGGCATACCGGCGCCAATGCAAGTGCAACCACATGATTACTATTTGGCGGCCTGACGAAACTGTCAGACCCAGCATATGACGACTGCAGCATCTGAACCAAGTACTCTGAATGGCAAGGCCATCCTGTGCATATGTGTGGAGGACTTTTGCTTACTTCTACCGATCCTATTGCCGATTCAGCTTGCAGCTTCCAGGTCAAGGCTGCCTTCGTCTCCACATTAACGCGCGTCTCAGTTCCAAACTCTGGGGTGAGCAACACATCTCGCTGTTCTTTTTCTTCTCTTATCACGACGACGAGGTGACAGTCGTGCCAATGCTCTGCGCCGCATGCACCGCCACGTCAATGTCCTGCTCCACGGTACCGCCACTCACGCCCACCGCGCCAATGAAATACCCATTGGGGTCAAAGATTGGCTGACCACCACCAAACACCACCGTACCGCCATTTGTCTCCTGGATTCCCCAGAGATCGCCGCCTGGCTCGCTGCGGGTCTGCAAGGTGTTGTTGGGGATGCCGTTGTAAAGCACCACGGTTTTGGCCTTCTTCTGAGAAATGTCCTGGTTTGGTCTTTGTAAGAATCCGTCTAACAGTGGTTGGCAGGACCCAAAAAGGGGGGAAACCTGTATTGTGGGGTGACCGCAACGTGATATATCGCCTTGCCCCAACAAGGTATGTGCATGACTTACGATGCTTCCCAGATAGGAATTATCCATATGGACAAAAGCCACCAGCCATGCTGATGGATCAAGCACGGCAATGTTTTGCGGTACACTGGTACCATCGTCAACGAAGCGATTCTTGCACCTGCTTCTATCATCCGGTTCGACTTACCCTATGGCCTGTGCACGTTGGATGCCTGCATTTATGACCTGCAGGGCTTGGGTATGGTTAATATAATGGCGCTGAGAGGGCGTCGAACCCCAGCCATTAGTGGCGGTGCGATTGACTTGTTGGGACATGACGACTGCGGCGGCTGCTAGTATCGAGGTGAGAACGGTGAGGACGGACGGGGTCTTCATGACTCTTTTGCTGCATTTTGACCCTCTCTTCTCCCCGCGTTTTTTTCCCTGACCAGAATGCCGGAGTAATGATTACTTTTGCCCGCCTGACGACTGATTGGGTCTGGAGGGAGGGGGAAGACGACAGGACAGAGACTGTGCTGACCGGGGTCGCTCCTTTGTAGCGGGGAAACTCCTGGATGTCTTCTGTATGGAGAATGTGATATCGCCTTGCTTGCTTGAGTGCCTACTTACCTACCTACCGACTCATCCGCATGCATGCGTGTATGCAAGTGTATATATATAGATACCCCATTCGGCCGAACGAAATCAATGCTGTCACGGTTCACAATCATAAGGTTTTTTCCCCTTCGTCATTTTACTCCTCCTATACTTTTCAGACAATGCTGGCATCCGCAGAGTTTGGCTTTGCGGGGTGCGGATCGATGGTGGACGGGTGAGTAGGCAGTTTGTTTGTGGGCTATTCACTTGTTCTTCACCACTACTTGCTGGTAGGCTAACACATCCCCGGCCCGTCTCCGTAGAGATTATTGACCAAGGAACATTCATTGAGAAGGAGGGGTCAGAGGGGGAATTGGGTCTGAACTCTCGCTAGAATCCTTCATCCGATGCGCAAGACCTCCGCTTCCGCCGCACTCACTCGCGGTGTGAACTCGACCCTATCAAGACCAGAATGTTTCTTTAGTTAGGTAGAGCTCCTACCCCGGCTCGCCGTTGACTCGTGACGTAAGATACATATGCAGGAGGGTGAAAATCTCAACATCCTCCCTGTTGGTGAATGCTCATCACCACAGTCGTCTGTTTTTCCCTCCACATGTCGAGGCCGGTATGTACCTTCGTAAGCATCTGTGGCTACGAATACACGATCCTGGTGATGAGTTCCTACTATAGAAGCCCTTTATTCTCGCAGCTCTATTAGCGCCAAGATCGTTAGGTTAGTCCAGCCCCGTTGGCACAGGTGCCTTTGTCGGACAGTGTCTGGGTTCAGTTGGCAGAAGCAGGAACACCCGATCTTTGGAAATTTCGCTTCGGAACGATCGGCGTGGATGTGGCGACCATAGACGGCAAGGAGTTGTTTGATTGTCGCCAGATTGAGCCCGGTTGAGGAGGATTGCCTTACTAGCCTGCCCTTTTCCAAAATTGCATATAGATCATAAACTTGGTCATTATGAGGCCGAGGACAATCAAGGCATTTTGTAGGTCTCCATGATGCTTGATAAGCCAATAGATCATGAAACACACAGACACTCCGAACCACACGGCGAACATGAGCCACATCTTTCGAAGAGACGTGCGGGAGATGGCATGCATCCCATAGCCCTCATTAAATTCCTTGATCTCTAACATCTGGGGAGTCTTTTTTGGAATACGCTGCAAGAGGCTGCCACGAGGACGGACTGCACGGAAATTGCACGGGACTGACGAAGACCGTCTGAATCTTTGCAGCCAAGTCGGGTGAGCGTGAGCTTGGATGCAGTGAGCACGCCTCCAGGCACGCTCTATGCATGTCGAGCGGGGCTTCGCGTATATTACTCATAGTCGCTGTTGATCGGGTAGCTTTGGCTCGGTGCTGCAGCTGGCAATCTTTGCCGTATCAGAGAGGCACTGGAACTATTTTCGATTAGCGAATTTGCATCACCCAGCGTCATGACCGTCTTCTGTGCATGTATTTACCTTTTTAAAGCTAGCTCCCACGTATTCTTTCATTGTTCAAAAGCTGAACCAACGCCCGACACCTCTGGTATAAGTTTGCGGGAGCTTCTCAACAAAGTCTTCGTCTACAAGGCGTTGAACCTCAAACTCCTTAAGATGTGTCTCCTGGCCACTGCTATCGATGCACTAGTATACGTACCTCCCGGAAGGCGTGGGATTTCCACGGCTTGCGACGCCAGGATTTTGAGAAAGAGTACTCGAAGAAGGCCGTGCCTCTGACGTTTGTTGGTCCTGGGTGCGACTAAAGTAACTCTGTAAAGGTATGCTGACCCGAGTTAAAGAATGAGCAGGATGCCCGTCGCTTGAAAGAGGATTGTAGACTGTCAGCAGTGGATCGCGTGCGAAGACCGGTGCAGAGGCTGGAAACCCTGCCAACGCAGGTGATGCAGTATTTTCGTTTATTAAAGGGATTTCAAGGTGTAGGGATGAACCACACGCCTGGCGCTATGTTAGCATTAATCAAACTTCGCTCATAAGGGTAGGACTCGCGCATTTCCAATAACTCGTTGAAGTCCAGGGGCAAGGTGGGCGTAAAGGCTCTTCCAATGGCCGCCACAGCAACTTCCGTCGCAGCACCCTCTCAACAGAGATCTTCAATTGATCCCATAATGACGGGGATGCATCGCATACGCCGAAGACTAGGTTTTGTGCCTCTGGGAAGCTTGCTTGTACTTCTTGGACCTCAAACACGCCTTTGGGGCTCGCTATGCTAGATGGCGGTAATGGCGTCCAGGTTGTCCCTGCGTTGTTGGCTTGCTGCTCGACGATGATGTCGACTGAATGACGTGGTGATCGCCCTGACACAGTAACAGTGGCTTCCGATGCTAGCGCTTGGTCAGATTTTGTGTTAGTCGACGCTTCTGTGCTAGGCATTGTAGGCTAAATGAAAGACGGCGCGGGGTTTCCTTGTCCAACCAGCCTCCAGTAGCACTGTGTCCAGTCCTCCCATCATTCTTTTCTCTATTTGCCCTGTGAAGTTTAAATCCATATTGTCGGAGTTTAATTTCATATGGTTCGAGATCGGTGAGGAGGATTCCGATAAAGGAAAAGAACACCGCCAATTCCATGAATGACATGATTGTTGACGGCAAGGACGGAAGGATTTGTCCCTGGATCAACAAGATAATCGCGCCGAGTGTCACAGGAAGAGCGAACTACTTCAAAGTGTCAGACATTTAACACTTCTTGTTTCTCGCCACTCAATGAATGCTACTTACCAACACGAAAATTGACTCCCTTCCACACATATTAGCAAACTCATTGCTTAGCTTTGGAGATTCCGCCAGCCGAGTTAAGTCATATTGAAGATTGTGGAATAGACCAAGTCTCTGTGAGTAATATAACTGGAGCTAGTCGCACAATTAAATCGTCAGAAGTGGTCTCATACTGAATGGGACGCCATGTAGGCGATTAGAGGGGGCCCAGGAACTTATATCGCGAGCAAGATCATCGGACCGAGTTGCCAATGATTTGACAGTGTGCTTTAGCATTTCCAAGTCACTGCAAATGACTTGAATGATCGACAGAGATTGGCGGCTGGTGAGTGCTGGTTCGGGGAATTCCCCAAACGTCCAAGAGTGAATTCAGTAGATATCCTCCCAAACATGGAAGGTATCCGACAAAGGACAGAACACATCCCTTGTAAGAGCTCTCATGAGTCTCAGCCGATAGAAAAGTGGATGGAAATTCTCACCGTGTTCGATGGCGTCCGAGACAAGCTCGTTCAGGTTCGGCAATGCGTACTGGCCAACGCATTGGCGAAACTGAATAGAGGGCAATTCATTTGCGAATTCCGTGTGACCCCGTGATGGAATGCCCGAAATGGAACACCAATGCCGAGGGAGCATATGGCCGAGACTGATTAGAGAAAGCCCGGCAACGATCTGAAGACTGAGATCCAGAAGCAAAGCAAACGCCAACATAGCTCTGCATAGTCACGAATTGCCTGTTTCAACTTCTCAACTGCTTGGTGCCATTCGCACCTGACCTTGTCGAGCCGCATCCGGAAGACTCCCAGGAAATACTCTCTGGGATCCTTAATCGCCATGTCTGCATTAACCTGTCCACGAGTAAGAGGATTCGGATGCGCGCAATCCTCGCGCAACGAATCTTCCTGGTCCTCTGTCACAGTCTCCTCTCCTGCTTTCTTGTAATAAACATCAACGAAGCCATATGCAACCCATCTCCACTTATCTGGGCCAGTTACTACGCATGAAATTAGTGCTTCACAGAGATAATCGGAGGATTAGCTTGTGGATGGAGTGAGAAAAGACAGATCTTGGTAACACCTCGGAGGTTGCCCATTCGAAAATTGGCGGTGATCCTTCGGCGGGCCGAATGTCTCTTTAAAGTGTGCGCCATGCATAGAAAGGCAAATGGAATGAAAACTGGAATGTGAGCAGACCCTCTCTCTGGTCAAAGGTGATGTCAGGTACTGACGAAGAATATTGCACGGTGGATGTGGTGGGAGAAATCCATACCAAACACTTACTCTCAATCAGAGGCCCAAATTCCTGATACTTGATACTAACATCTCTCAGGGCTTGATACTCGTAGAGCGAAAGCAATTGCGAGAGCACGTAGATGTTCCAACAATCCAGATTGGTAATGAATCTAGATAGCCATTAGAGTAGAGGCAAAAGGCAGAGGCACGGGGGGTGCAGAAGGAAATGACTCGTACATACATCAAGCGCCGTTCGACATCTATTCAGTACCCAGTACCGAGTAGTTGATCACTCTTCCCGCCTAAGAGTGCTCGGCGGCTTCTGTTAGCCTCCAGCGGGCCCCTAGGATCGGCGTGGTTGCCGCTAGGCTCCTCGCAATGCTTGGCTGGTAGGGTCCGGAAAACGCTAACTGGTCGTTAACACTGCCCAGCCACTTCCCTCCTTATTTCAACTTCCATAAAAAGGAACCTTGCCAGTTTTCGAAGCTCCTCCAATGCAATCAGCGGCGTCCATCTTGGGCCTGGACCCCTCATTTGCAGGCTCGCAAGTTCAATCATTTATCCAAGCCACCGCTCCCACAAAACCAGTCGAATTGCTTGGCCTGTAGTTGACAAGCCTCAGGCTCGTTGCGATCGATCATGAAGGCTCGAATCAGACCCTCATCATCATTCTGGACGAAGCTTATTGATTCGACGAAAGGTTGATTCCAGTCTTCCACCACAAGATTCCGGCGAGTTGCAAAGCCGAGGATCCCATCGGTAGGCTCTGGATACACTCGTTCCGATTCCTTGGGCCTCCTTTTTCGCAATCGCCTTTTTCCACCACGCTTTTGGATTCTCCGCAGCCTCGACGCCGGCATGATCGCTGATGTAGAGGAGTGCCGGGTTGATCTTTACCTTTTACGAGGATGACAAAAAGCGACACAGTGCCAGAAGGATGACACCTTCAAATCTATAAAATCCTTATTAAGCCTTTAGCATCTTCTGATACTTCGCCTTATGTAAGAGTGGCACGGAGATTGCCTATCCACGGGTGAACCTGGGCCCAGCTCCAGGAGATTGGTCCACGTCAGCGTCATCAGGCTTAATGCTGGAAGGAGGCGGGGACGTGCAGGGCGCTCAATGTTAGTGTGAGGGCTTCGTATAGAGCCTTCATTGCGGCGTAGCATGTGGCAGAGGAGCAGCGAGATCATCTGGAAGTCAGCAGGATGGTGCCATATACACTGACCACGTATCAAAAAAATTGATGCTTAAGTCCGCCTTTCCATCGCGATGTAGGCAGGTGCCCAGGTGCGTCCAGCTGCGCCCTCTCACTTCCATTCCCTAACCCAACAAGTCCACCTACAGACACGATGTTAACCAGTCGCCTTTCTTGCTCAATGGCTGCGGGGAAAGGGTTGGTAACTAATGGAAGAAGGATGCACTCAAGACGATGATATAAGAAGCGCCCCTTGGCACAGGCCCGTATTCGTGTCGAGTAATTCTGAAAGTGAAGCTGTTTGCGATAGAGCTCAGAATCGACGATGTATCGCGGCTGAACTTCTTGGTACCTGGCACTTGACATCCTGGGCATCGATGGTCTGGAAGTCAGTGAATTACAAGTATCGCAGGCCTTTGACTCCGCCGTCATTCTTCAGATTCAGAGAGCGAAGCTCCCTGCAATCAGGATGCAATTCCCAAAACTATGGGTACTTCGGTCTTCTGAACATGCCGATATGTTCAGAAGCTAATATTCTATTACGATCCATATTCTGAACCGCAAGACCGGACTTCGGTATAGGCCAAGCCATACATGTGCTTTGACCTAGCGGGAAAGAGCGTAAATGCCTGTCGGGTAAATTGAATGCAGGACAAAACAAAAGGGATGTGTGAGATGTGTCGGATATCTATGCAAGCCAGGTATCATGCCTCTTTAATTGTGATCTTGACGCTTGGCGGCAGAAGCTTAGGACAGCGGGATATTTCTCCTCGAAGAACCAAGTGACATGCGCATCACCATCAGAGTCTTTTCTCCACTTGTATCTTGCATCCGAGTCCCATTCCACTTTGGGTGTTTGTTTGTACCTTGGCCCGATCTTCACGCTCAAGGCTCCGCGCTTGCTGCGCTGAACATCTATGCCATATGGCCTTGCAACAAGCATATTTGCAAAACTGTATGGGGTAGCATGTGACGACTAAGCATGCAATTTCACGCACCATGTCTCGAAACAAAGAAAACAATCCTCTTTCACCCGCCCAGCGCAACGGTCCTTCTGCTGCCCTTCACAGGACTTTACCCAGCGACGAGTTCTTCACGGACAGCTTGATCGATGACTCGCGTATCTCAAATGTCTCGCATATTCCGTCTCCAGTCAAGACAGGGCCCGTCAAACCTCGCCGCGTCATTGGCACAAGCAAAGCCTTGCAGACAGGCAAAGATTCGGGCAATAGATCGAGCCGCACTTCCCTGTTTGACTATACTGCGGCGCGAACTAACAACCAATTGAAACCTTCGCCAAACCTGTCTAGAAAGAAAAGCACAAGCCCTGCGCGAACGAATGGCCTCACCACACCGCCGCATTCCAGACACGGCCCGCCCCTCACCAGCCCGACTGAGTTCTCTAGTCCCCCAGGCGGCCTACACGAGTCGTACAAGAGAATAGCGGATGAGGAGGATCTAGCCGCGACCGAGAGAGATGTGGACAGCGAAGAGGACGAGATCAATGGTGGCGATCATCAGGATACCTTTGAGGCAAATCTGGATTTGAGCCCTACAAGAGATGGAAGAGTCACGGAACAACCAGAGCCCGCGCGTGTATCGCAACAACTGACACCGAGTCAATCGCCATCTCACGCAGAATTGGAGAGAATCGTGGATGAGCGAGTCGAGAGCCTCTCAGAACCGCCCACCATGGATTTCCTCAAGAACGAGCTGACCGATCGTGTGTTGGCTGCCAAATTGACCCCTCATGTTGTGGACCGCACCAAAGATCGCGCAAGGCTCGAGAAGCTGAGACAGAGCCGAATACCGATCAACTTTGGAGAGAAGTCCAAACAAGACCACGCCGACGGGGAGCATCGACGGAACGATCTCGCTAGTGTCACAAGCCGTGGTCCCATCTCCTTCGACAACGTGTTTGCCGTGGATACAAACGGGCTTCACAGGACATATTCAGATACCAGCGCCGACTTCACCCCACAAAAAAGGATGAGAGCCTTCAGGCGAGCAACGCGCCCTGGTGCAAATAAGATCGTGCCCGAAGATGATGACGGTAGCGATACGCCGCCGGAGCTGCGAGAAAAGGAGAGATTAGTCGCTTTCAGCAGATCCAGTCGGCAGAAGAAGGAAGACATCGGAGAAAGTGAAACACGAAGAGCCGGATCGGTACCGAAAATCTCAGCATTTTCACGTGCGCATGGTCGACCTCGTCCTTACGGGATGCCTCCCGAAGCAATCGGAGATCAGGGACAACCCGACGACCCTACAATTGCGTCTATTGCTTCAACAGTATCAGAGCCTCTTCCGGGGACAACTCCGCTGCCCGACGACGATCGAGCAACGCGTGCATTTCTCGCCCGATGGCGCAAAGAAACCGCGGAGAGACGTGCTGCGAAGACTCGAGAAGAGGTTGACAATAACGAATCCCAAATTGACTGGGCTGCTGCAGCTGCAGACGTTCCAATGTCGTCCATTGAAAAGTCTTCAACTCCTCAAGAGACCCCTCCACCAAAAATCATTCCGTCCTCGATTCACAAGCAAAGATCGATGGACCGAATGCGGAAATGGGAGAACGACTTCACGGGTCTGTCGTTTCAGGTGTCAGAAAGCCCCCCTGTTCGTACGCGGACGAACCTCAATGACTCCCTTAGGGAGAAAGAGATCGAAGATCTCACCAAACAAGCTGTCACTACAAACAGGTTAGACGAGATCCGTGAAAAGGATCCGAATGTCATTGTGCGCAAGTCTTCTCGCAATTTCAGTCCGCAGGAGCGCAAGTCAGCGCCCCCTGAACCACAAGAGATGTGGCCAAATGCCGACAAGGTCGACCCGAAGGGCCCCGGAGAAGCAGTCCCAGACACGCCAGTTGTTGTGTATAGGTCATCAAGCAGTAGCACCGACAAATCCAAATCGTCTCAGCAATCAATGCCAGATTCACTTGATCAACTGCAGAGGCTAGCTCGAGCTGTCAGCACAACTCCAAAACCAAGTCCCGCTGCCCAAGAGTTATCAATTGCCCTTGATGATGCGTCCGCAGTCCCCTTGCCGCTTTCGGAAGATGACCTAAAGTCGCAGTCTTCGCTTGCAGATCAGAACGAGATTGATCACAAGAAGAGAGTAGCCGAAACTCCGAGAGTCACGGGTGCCTGGACCGATACCATTTTACCGGACACTGTCAAGCCAAGGAATCAAACACAAAGGATTACCAAGTATACGCAAACACCTCATGTCAATGCAGGAGGGTGGATAGACACACCGCTTCCCAACGGAGATCGGGTTCCCGATGTCCATATACCAAGGATCATCGAAGAGGAGACGGAGGAATTAGTGCACGAGAATATTCCAACAGATAACGCGAAAGCACACCCAATGGAACATAATACGGACCAACCGGCGGCCGTTTTGAATAAGGATCCAGAGCCAAAGGTTGGACCGGCAAGAGAAGAAATCATTCTCCCTTCGAGCACCCTGACAAACGTTCTGAACGAAGCCAAACAGAAGCGGCTAGTATCACACGACATCACTGATGCTCCTCGAGATGAGAATGACACGCTTAACCTTGGCGACGCGACCATTCAAAGCTTTGAAGACCTTCTCACCGACGCCGCAGACATCACTGCCGACATAACCAGCCTTATCAAGGCTGGCGCTGAGGAGGAAGTCCTAGCTCAGAGAGAGAGAAACAAGTCGACGGCCCTTGACATCCTAGATGAAGATAACTCAGCTGCTTCTGAGGTTGCATTCATCGGTCATTTAACAAGTCGGATGGAAAGACTAATGTCAAACTTGCATGAAGCTAGAAAGGGTATAGCCAGGCTGGAGCAAAAGGTGTCTCACACCCCGTCGATACCTACAGCAGGACCAGATCAACCAACGCAGGCGCTAGTGGCTGTGAAGGATCCAAATCATGCGTGCACAAGATGTGGTCGAAGTAACGATGACATCTCTCACGCCCTTCCCCACAAAGACCCTGTCGCCACGTCATCCTTCATGGCAGTACCCATCGCATATACAACGCTCACTCTCCCAATCCCTCTGCTTTTCCATCCGCGCACATTAACTCAGAACCAGAAACGCCGCAACCGCGTCCTCGACCTTCTTCCCGGTAGTCCAACATGGCTAGGCTATCTCACCTTCTCCATCTGGATATGGTACATCCTTGAATGTGTCCTTGCAGAGATTTATGCGAGGCCGCTCTATGCGGAATGGTACGTCTGGCCGGCCAGGCCAGAACCAGAGTTTCCTTTTGTTCTTCCCACAATGCTCTACAGATGGGTCCTGGGCGGGAGCGTGGGAAGCGCGCTGATAGCGCCTGTGGTGACAATCTCAGGGGTTATCTGGAGACTGATCGTGGTTATATGTAAGGTTGCGGGAATGTGGTTGGGTTGGTGGGATGGGTTTGTTGATGATGACAGGACGAGGAGCGTTGTGGCAACTGCCACGAGATCTGGCGTTCAAGCGGTCGGGAGTCTTCTTCCTGGTACCAATGGCGCCAACGCTGTCGAATTGGAGGGTTTGAGTATGATGAATGACGAGATTTTATGAACGATTCAATGACAGTTTTGTGCAGGATACTTTGCGGGTATTGATTGAATGGATGGGTGACCGCAGTTCATTTGGTGCATCTCGGAGCTGGCGGACTTTGTGTGGAGTTGGCAGGGG